TTGCTCAAGCCTGTTAGTTCAGCTCAGGTTGTTGTGGAAATACTTTTTAAAAAAGTAACTATGTTCCTCCTTTCATCTGAAAACCTTTACAAATCTCCCTATTTTTCAGAGCAGTGTAATTCAATCCTTTGTACTGAATTGGCCAAATTGATTTAGCTAGTCTTAGCACATAGTGTGCTCTCTGTGTCAAGCCATCTTTTGTGCTCAATGATAGCTGCTTGGCAACAGATGGTGTCATCATCAGTTCAGTATGAAAAGGCCTAAATCTCCCAATAAGATGATGTTGATTGAACCAGTGCTTGGGTTTCTCACGTGACATAGTAAAACACAGCAGATGAAAGACAGCCTGTATCCAAACTGTCCAGCATTCCACTGCCCCGTGCCCATCATTATGCTGTACTCGTGCCTGTCAGTCTGCATAGATACCTATAATCTCTGCTGTATTTGAAAGATTTGGGAGTCTCTGCCACATCTGGGATGTTACTTTACCTGAAATTTGTAATGTTCAATATAAGTTCAGTACCACGCCTCTGCTCGACTGGCAGCGCCTCCTCCTTGTACCTTGCACCCTCCACTCCACCGTCAGAGGTCGTGCTTTCAGCCATTATGACCCGAAACTGAGGAACACTCTCCCTCAATCCCTCCACCTTGGCCCCTCTCTCCCCTTTTTCAAATCACACCTGAAAATCTTCCTTTTTGACCGTGCTTACAGTCACCTTGCTCCACCCAAATCGATGTCAGGCTCCACCATTGTTAAACGCTCTAAGACGCTGCCCTGGGTGGAGAGCACTATATAAGTGCAAGTTGTTGTTGTAAGTACCAGCTGGGTGCAGTTGATAGCACTTTGGCCTCTGAGTCTGAAGATGATGGGTTCAAGCCCCGTGTCGAGACTTTGAGCTTATCATGCTGAGGGAGCTTGTGGGAGGTGCCATCTTCACATGTAACATTAACCCAAGATCCCATCTACTTTTTCAGGCAGATGTTAAAAATTCCAGGGCATTACTTGGAAAGAGAAAGGAGCTTCTCCCAGTGTCTTGGTCAACAATCCCCCAGATATAGCTGGCCATTCACATCGTGGTTGGTTGTGGGACATTGTTGAATCCAAATTTACTTTAATTTTACAGTAAATTCCTCTGAAGTGAAATTCTTAAGACGTTTTGGTGATGGGGTAAGGTGCTCTATGAAATGGAAGGGTTATTACTATTAAGTTGGATCCCAATGTTACTCTTATTTCAATTGTCTTTGCTATTGTGATTCTAAGTTCACTCCACCATCGATGGGTAAGTTTCCAGCCCCCATACCCATCTCCTCGGGTCACTTCTTCCCTTAGAATGATCAGTTGTCAGGAGTTTGCAGGTTGTTGTTACATAGGGGTTCCCTGAAGTGGAGATCCTTTGTTTCCTGAGGTGCTATTTTCAATATGAGAAGGCATTTACTTTGCTGTTTTTCCTAGTGAGGGCTTTTTCAGCCCCAGCTCCTGCTCTGCATAAATCTGGGTTGAGTCTAAGACTATCCTGGTCTGTGGGGCTCAGCTACTCACCTCTCACATACTGGAGTCCTGTAGCTCAGTGGCGAGAGCACTCACCTCGCAAGTGAGAGACCTGGTTCGATTTCAGGCAGGGTGAAATGTTGGGCAAGTTTTCTTATTCCACACGTCTCTGTTTACCTAGCAGTAAGTAAGAACCCACCTGCTAGTCGATTGGCAGATCGCTTTTCTGGGGGTAATAATTCCTTGATAAAAAAATAATAATTTGGTTACTCAATCCGCGTTTCGCCCCCAAAATATACAGTCAATGCACTTTACAATATATTCTGTGAAGCACTTTGAAACGTCTCGAAGACATGATAAGGCGCTATATCAAATGCAGAGATTATTATTATTATATACACACACTTTACCGACACGTCTGCACATATGAAGAGGAGAGCGAGAGGTGGAAAGCAAGAGTAAGGCATGCACAATTAGTACACTAGGGGCTTCCGAGAGTGAGCGAGTGACAGAGAAAACCCCACTCTTGTATAACCTTGAATAACCATCAGTATTTCTTCAGTGTTTATTGAATAAATAATTAGGAAAACACTGATTTCATTTTTTTGGTATCAGGTGATGTTTTATCATTGTTTATGGGTAAAAACTGAAATCTGAAGCCCTAATTATACTCTTGATGGTGCATGGTGTGGGGCAGTGTCAAAGGACAATGGCAAAGACTCCATCAAATGTAAAAGATCAAGTTTTATTGATGCTTTAATCTTTTGCCATTTTATACAACAAATTACATCTGAATAACGACTCTTCCGTCAGGAGGACGTCCCAAAGCGCTGGACATTCAGGGATTGGGATCTGAGCCAGGGATTTAAGATCAGAAGGGATGAAGGGCAGGGAGAGTAGGGATAGGAGGGTGGTTGAAGAGGAGGGTCTTGAGACGGGCCTTGAACGAGTCAAGAGAGGGAGCGAGGCGAAGAGACTGTGGAATGTAGTGTTTCTGTTAAAAGCAACCCTCAAAAATAAAACCAAGGATTTTCTTCAGATTTACATTTCAGTGTGTGCTGCCAGCCTGTGGATAATTTCGATGCATCGCTAGAAGAGCTGCCACAAAAATGATTATTAATGTCCTGAGGCCATCCCAGTCCTCCACGCCCTTCACTCCCCGATCTTCAGCACTCCAATTCCATCTGGAATACAAAGAGCTGAACAAGTCCAACAAAATTTAAAAAATGAAAAATCTTTTACATGCAACAGTTCTACATTTAAAAAAATCTTTATTGGGCTCCATCAGTCCAGGGAGGAAATGGCCTCTTTATTTTTACTGTGTCACATGAGGCTGTTTCTGCTCAGCACTCTGACTGAACTCTGGTGCTTAAAAGCACTCCAAAATGCAGCAGAATGAAACCGTACAGATTAGCACGGCATGTGAAATGACATGTTTTTCTCAGTAGTGTAATCTGCTGGTTGTAGTGGGAGAACTCTGGGCTCAGATCTGTGAATGTTTGAATATTCTGGAGTCTAAGTTTGTTTTTTTCTTTGAGAGTTTATGCAGTATCGTGGGGGTAGAAAGAGCGAGTGGAGTTTTTGAGTGACCATTTGTTGATGTTCTTCAAACCATGTGAACACAGGAATAGAAAAGCTAAAACAGAAGTGTGAGGTCATCCACTACGTCCACAAATAGCAAAACAGAATATTTTCTAAATGGTGAGAAACTAAGAACTGTGGAGGAGCAAAAGGATTTGGGTGTCCATGTACACAAATCACTAAAAACAAGCTCAGAGGCACAAAAAGTTAACTAAAGGCTAATTGGATATTTGTCTTTATCTCAAGGGGGCTGGAATATAAAGGAGAGGAAATGATGCTTCAGCTGTATAGAGCCTTGGTCAGACCCCATCTGGAGCACTGCGTTCAGTTTTGGGCACCATACCTCAGGAAGGATATATTGGCTCTAGAGGGGATGCAGTGCAGATTCACCTGAATAATACCAGGGCTTAAAGGTTAAATCATGAGGACAAATTGCATAAACTTGGTCTCTATTCCCTTGAGTTTAGAAGGTTGAGGACTGATCGGATCGAGGTTTCTAAAATAATAATAGGGTATATACAGAGAAACTATTTCTCCTGGTGGGGAATTATCTTAAAAATTAGAGCTAAGCCATTTAGGAGTGAAATCAGGAGGTAGTTTTTCACCCAAAGGGAAATGGAAATCTGGAACTCTCCCACAAAAGGCTGTGGATGCTGAATCCGTACATATTTTCCAGACTGAGTTGGATAGATATTAGTTAGGTCATGGTATCAAGGGATATGGGGAAGGAAGCCATTCAGCGCATCTTATAGAATGGCGGAACAAGCTCGATGTGCTGAATGGCCTCCTCCTGTTTCTGTGTTTCTAAAATGCCAGTTTACATGCAAAGAGAATTATAGCATAAACGTAATCTGGTGGAGAAATTAGAAAGAAAATTTGCGTTGTGAATATTGAGCTGGTCCTTCTCAATCTTTTCCGCTTGTGAACCAGACAACAATATGACTGTCTCACAAACCTTTGTCATTTACATTTTGAGGTTTACTTTACTCATGCAGCAAATTGGGTTTCACAGTTTCCCCAATGAGTCTGTCTGTTACAACCAACAGTTGAATATTTAAACGCCTTTTGTACCTGTTCATAAAAAACTATTGAAAACATTTCTGTGATTTTTATTATTTATTGTATTATTTATTATTTCCAGTGATTTCTACTGTAATATTTATTTTTCTGTGATTTCTATTGTTATAAAATCCAGATTATTCAAAACTCTGCCGCCCACATTCTCACCCGCACCAAACTCTGCTCCCCGATTACCCCAGTCCTTGCCAGACTGGCTCCCTGTCCCAGAGAAGATCGATTTCAAGATCCTCACCCTTGTATTCAAGTCTCTGCACCGCTCTGCACTCCCCTACCTCTCTGACCTCTCTCCTCAAAACAGTACCTGTTGCATTCATTCCTCCTAGTCTGGCCTCCTCCTCATCCCCTGAGTCCTCCGCTCCACCCTCGGCGGCCGTGCCTTCAGTCACTATGCCCCGAGGCTCTGGAGCTCCTTTCCTCACTCCCTTCGCCTCCCTCCCTTCCTATTTTGAGGTCTCTGCTGAAGAGCTTTTTTTTTCGACCGCGCCTTTGGTCACCTTCCTCCCCCTCCCCCTGGCTCAGTCCCGGGATCCATTACTGTGAAGCGCTCTGAGACGCCGTCCAGCGTGGAGGGCGCTATATAAATCTAAGTTGTTGTTGTTGTTATTTATTATTTTTCCATGATTTCTATTGTAATATTTGTTATTCTTCTGTGATTTGGGGAACAAATTCTCGACTATCCAATACCTTGAGAGGGTTCTCCCAAACTGAAAGTCACTATAAAAAGCAATTTGTTGTTGCTGTTGTTTTCTGATTATGGTAATAATTATTTTCCAGTGATTTCTGATTTATTATAATGTTTAATTTTTTAGCAGATTGTGATTTGTTGCAATATTTATTATTTTTTAAACAGTTGTCCAGCACATTAAGCGGCACAACATTGTACTCAAGAGGGAGCTGGGTGAAGGTGCCTTTGGTAAAGTGTTTTTGGCCGAATGTTCCAACCTCAGCCCAGAAGAAGACAAGTCGTTGGTGGCAGTCAAGGTAAAGCACGATAGAGTTTCTGTTATTAATTTATGCCATGGTCCCGGACTTCTCATGATAAATTGTTATCTATCTTTCGGCTTCAGCTTTCTTGCTAGGTAGAACTGTGGAGGACTAATGCAATGTCAAAAGAGCATGATACATGATCTCACCCTGGATTATAAAACTATGCCCAGGTTTCATGTAGCAATGACAGCGGAACAACTCAGCAAAAAGACCCTGGAAATTGGCGAAATCTGATAACTGAAAGTTGCAAATGCACTTATATTTGAATATTTGTCTAGTGAGTAGAAATTGAAAACCCTTCCCAGTTTCTGATGCTACAACATTGTAGACTTTAATGTTTACCATGTCCATATAGCTATTATTTCCTGTTAAATTAATCTTTCAATGAGTCTGGGTCAGCTGGTAGTACTCTTGCCTCTGAGTCAGAAGGCAGTAGGTTGAAACCCTACATTGGACTTGAACTCACATAGTCTAGGCTGCCACTCCACTGCTGGAGCTGTGCTGCATTGTTGGAGGTGCCGTCTTCCGGATGTTAAACCGAGGTGCCATCTTTGCCTGTTCAAGTAGACATTAAAGATCATGTGGCACTGTTTGAAAACAGAAGGGAATTTTCCTGGTTTCCTGGACAACAATTCCCCCAATAAAAATTGGTCATTCACTTCATGGTGTTTGTAGGACATTGCTTGTAAATTGTCTGTTATGTTCATGTACAAAAATACATAGTCGCTACACTGAGTGAAGAAGAAAAAATAGGTGACCATAGGCGCGGAGGTCGAAGAGTTAGGTTTTGAGGTGGAATATAAAGACATATTAAGAGGCAGCGAAATGGAAGAAGGTGAGGGAGCTGGTTGCAGAGGTCAGAATCATAGAATTCCAAAGCTCAGCCACCAAGCTGTGGCATAGGTAAGATGTGGGATGCATAGAAATCCCATTTTAGCCTATCTGAGGGATGAGAAATAAAATAGAAAGGTGAAAAATAGAGAGGTGCTAGGACATGAAGGGACAGTGAGGATCTTGAAATCAATCTACTGAGAAACAGGGAACCAATAATAATAATCCTTGCATTTGATATAGCGCTATTCACGTCTTCTAGACGTCTTAAAGCGCTTCACAGAATATGCTGTAAATTGAATTGACTGTATATTTGTAGGCGAAATGTGGCAGCCAATTGCGCACAGCAGTGTCCCACAAACAGTTGTGGATTGAAAATGACCAATTTATTATTGTTTTGATTTTTTTTTGGAGGGATTATTAGTAGGCATGTGGAGTAAGGAAACTTGCCCAAGGTTTCGCCCGGCCTGGAATTGAACCCAGGTGTCTCACTTAAATTGAGACAATGGAACCAGACGAGGACTTTGGTGATGGAAATTTGGAGTTTAATGGCCAAATTTGTGTACTGGCCACATTACAGACTTTCTCTTCCATCAGATGCTACAGTTAGACGCTCTTGATTTTACACCCTGGTGCAACAGTGGCTGTTGAAAAAACCCTTTATGTTTCACACAAGCTTTAATTGCTTTAGCAGTATGCAAGAGATCTTCTTACAGAGCATACTTCCGAATCTTTCAGTGTGAATTCCTGTGTGACATACACTCCTGGAAACTAAATAAACTTCTGCACAAAGCCAAATCACTGACTTAACAGGACTGGCCCACAGGTGCAAATGGAAGCAGAGAAGAATTGTGGATTTTCCTAGTGTTGTATGCAATGTCTCACTAAAACTATGAGGCTTTGCAAATTATTCTGGATTGTACCACATGCCGGGGGTTTATAACATATAATTTAGAAGGCTCAGGTGTCATTGCTGGAGCAAGCCTGCCAGTTCGAAAATATTTTTAAAAAATATTGTTTTGAATATGAAAACAGCGGCACATGAGGTTTAAATAACATTTACACTGGAATGTTTTCAGAAAACCAAACATTTTTGACAGGACTGATACAGCCCACTTAGCTGGTCCGTGAAGACTGTTGGTTTATTTCAGCTGGAACCCAGGATTTAGAAATAGTCTGTGCTTTCAGGGGGTTATTTCGGAATCCACTCGAGATATTCTGAGGAAGGAGCTGACAGGTTAGAAGTCGTGTTGCTTTTGCCCTATAAAATATGATGTGATTCTCACACTGACATATGAATGTTTGTTATAATGTATGGGAGTAAAAACTAGGTGTTTTCTTTTTGTCAAATGCAGTTGTTGTTTATGTGCTGTGCTGTTGAAATATAATGGTACAATGCGGAACTAGTCCCTCATTTCCCACGTGATGAGGTCCCAGTCTCCTCTAAACAACACCCTTCAGGGAAATCAGAAGTCAACCCAGGCCACTCTCATTGACCTTCTGTCAATCAAATAAAGAGCAGGTTCCATGCTCAGATTCTCATTTAGCAAATGGCTTCTGTCACAGCAGGGCCTGCTGATTTGAAGGTTTTAGAGCAATTGATGGGTTAGAGGGAAATCTTTAGCTCATGGTTCCCCAAATCCAATTCTTCTGTCTTCTTCTAGCACCCATCAATGTCAAAATCATGATACATTTATTATCCATGGAGTTGCCACAGTTGTTATTCTTTTCATTATTATTATATTATTATTATAATCCTTTTTGTCAGGATCTCCCCTGATGACTCTGTAGATAAAAGTATTGAACAGCATAGAAAGAAACCAGCAAGGTTTGGCTTTGGGTCTGAGTTAGTAGATTTCATCTAGAATGACAGAAGAGATGCTATAATTGGCTTTTCCCTTCTTGGCTCGGTGAGGGAATTCTCCCACTCCTGAACCCTTCCTCGGAAATACATGAGTTTTGATGTTGGGTGAGGACGGCACCAAGTTTGGCTGTATTGTCCCACAAAGTCAAAAAGCCCAATTCTTCGCACACACACAGAGAAGGGTCCCTTGGTGAGGTTGCCAGAGGACAGTGGGAACCTGTGCAACCATACCCCAATAGTACTACCCAGAGCAAAGATTAGTAAACTAGAGGAGAGCCTCTTTCACTCTGCCACACAATCTACAGAAGAGAGATAATAAGAATTAAAATGGGAGAAATGGACAGCTGAGTTTAAGTTAAATACACACAAACACACACACAGAAAAGCAGAGTTTTGAAGAAAAAGACTAAGTGTTTGTTGCTTTTAACAACTCAGACTTTGAAAGAAGCCAGTGAGAATGCACGCAAGGATTTCCACCGTGAGGCAGAGCTGTTGACCAACCTGCAACATGAGCACATTGTGACCTTCTACGGTGTGTGCGTGGAAGGCGACCCTCTCATTATGGTGTTTGAGTACATGAAGCACGGAGACCTCAACAAATTTCTCAGGTCAGTGCAGAAACAATGCGACTCCGGTCTGGGATCAAAGCTTCCGCATGTCGTCACCATGAAACCTACCACCGTCTTAGGTTATGGTCATGCTGCTAGTGGGAGTGTCACTCCAATGGAAATAGCAAAGAAAATCTACCACAAGGATTGAGATAGAGTACAATTACAGCGTGACAGGTTGATTGTAAGGCCTTAAGTTTAAAGTAATGTTGTGGTACAAAATAAGATAACCCACATCAGGACTTGAACTCACATAGTCCAAGCTGACACTCTAAGGCAGTGCTGGGGGCTGCTGCATTGTTGAAGGTGCCAGATGAAACATTAAACAATTTGCCTGTTCGGGTGGATGTTAAAGTTCCCATGGCACGACTCAAAAGAGAAGGGAGTTCCTCCTGGTGTTCTGGCTAATCAAATGTAATAATTTTTATTGTAGTTAAAATAGAGACAGGTCCCTGGGTAGTAGAGATATTAAGGATCTGGTATGGAGCGGCAATGAAATTGAAACATCTGCTAAGATATATTAAACAAATGGAACAGGTTTGATGGGCTGAATGGCCTCCTCCTGTTCCTGTTTTATGTTCCGATGAGATCTCAACAAGAAAGTATTACTCAATGATCCAAATACTGCATTACAAGTTTCTAATATCACAAACAGAATCTTAAGAGTGAGGATGTGAAAAGTGATGCACAATGCAGAACATAATTTAGTGTCTTTGCAAATGAACTCAACTGTGTGTTAAGGAAAAGTCTGACACCTTAAAATCAAAGGGGTCTGTCTTAGGCTGAAATATTCAGTGCATGGAGACACAGGAGCCTAATATGTGCCATTTAAATAAATAATCCTTGCATTTGATTTAGAACATTTCATTTCATGAAGACCTCTCAAAGCACTTCACAGTATTTACTGTAAAATGTAGTGACTGTATTTTGTAGGCACTTAAAACTCTGACCACAGCTTGCCGCTTCTCTCCAGAAAATTCTCTTTCACCAACACAGAACATGTTTTCCAGCAATGGGAAGGGGAGGGAGGAGGAAAGATGCACATTTTGTGTGTTTACAATAGAGGCGTCACAGCTATCATTCTACGAGGGGAACAGTGGGCATTCAATTGTCTAAGAATTGGTTTTCAAATAAGCAAAGCGACGGTCTTAACCTTTTCCCATTCGGGTAATTGTGTCAGAAATTTGGTTGAAAACATATCCATATATCAAGCTGTCAGGAGTAACATGATTTGCATCTATTTGTGTAAATACAGTTACACTAATTGCCCATAGGAAAACCTTCACATAGATTTTTGGATTATTCTTACCACGTAGGACAATATGGGAGATTGGATTTATGTCAGTGGAAGTGGGGGGAAGCTCCTTCTGAATGTAATACTGTATTTTGCAGTGTTATGCCACAGATTTAACCTTCAATATTCATAATACCAAAAATGCCAAAATGTACAAAGAAGGGAAATAGCTGGTAATATCATGTTAGCCTAGTTTTCCGTGAAATTCACATTATATATCGTATTACCTTCAGTCTGCATCTGGAGATTGTCAAGAAATTATCCCTCAGACTCTCTCATAAAACAAGACAGCCACATGCTCTTACAATTAGTGAAATTTATTATCAGCCACGGCATGTGTCTAGAATTGAATATGTATTCAAGGAGGAAAAAATTCCAATATACAAAAAATAATTCCCACAGACTCCCTTTGTATAAAATTCCCAAACATAACATAATACTTCAATATCGAATTCTGGTCCAAATGCAAAATGGTTAGTTATCCTTCAACACACAATAGTCAATTCACTGTTAAATTTCAACCAGAGAGAAGTGCAGGACCCAATTTTTCCTCACCTTTGCACAAAGTGTCCTATCATTCAGTATTTTCTACAAATAGATATCTTTATACGTAGAATGTTTTTGTCTGGAGTTCATCCTATTCCTATACCTTGCACAATATTGCTAGGCAACTACTAGTTATAATAATAATAATCTTTGAGTTTGACATAGCGCCTTTCAGGTTGTTAGTACATCTCAAAACGCTTCACAAGAAAATGTAGTGACTATGTATTTGTAGGTGAACATAGTTCTCAATTTGTAGTGCTTAATTTGTTGAAATATGCTGTACAAATATCTCCTGCTGTGCTTTTCCTACAAACCTGCAGAATAAGGGAAAGGATAGGTGGGTGGCTTGTTTCTCTCATGTCCTTAATTTGCTTTTTTGTAAAAGTTTATCTCATAATTCTCTCGCATTCTTTGTATCTCCTGGTCATAACTGGGTGAGTCTCTATCTCACTAACTCTCGCCGTACTATTTTCTTTGCTTGTTTGTCACAAATATTCCTTTTTGTGACTGTTCGAGCAATAGCACATTTTTATATTATAGTCCCAGCTTGGCTTGAAATGGTAACGAATGGAGAAGAATCAAACTGAATCTGGGAACTCTCACAAAATGAGGTCCTACTTTAGTGACCCTTTGGGAACTGATTCTAAAAGTGGCACAGGCACTGACAGACCACAACAATAACAGTTTGTTGATACCACTAAACAAATTTGAATAGTACTTAGATTTTAACGGCAGTGAGAATTTTACTTGTGTACATTCTGTGTTACGGGCAAAAAGTAGGTTGCCTTCTGGGAGTTACCAAGCAAATTCTGATACACAGCAGGTCCTTGATGCACATATTACATGACAAATGGAAATGTATCTAGGAGCAACATTACAGTTGCTCCTAGGTCTCTATTGGCACTGTCCTCCTGCTCGTCCCTTGCACCCTCTGCCCCACCATCGGAGGTCGTGCTTTCAGCCGCTATGTCCCAAAACTCTGGAATACTCTCCCTCAATCCCTCTGCCTTGCCCACTCTCTCCCCTTTTTTAAGTCTGCCTGAAAACTTTCTTCTTTGATCGTGCTTATGGCCATCTCTCCCCGCCCGCCAGTTCGGAGTCAGGCTACGCCACTGTTGAGCACTCTTGAGACTCTACCTGGTGTGGAGGGTGCTATTCAAGTGTAAGTTGTTGTTGTACAATTCCCATGTAGTGTCGCCACATGAGGAGATTATAGGTCGTGAAATCTGATTGCATTTTAAAGTAAGCATCACAGATTTATTTATTCATCTGTTGTAAGAGGCTGTGCGTGTAGACATGAATTGCACCGATGACTATGGAAAATGTGAATAAGCATCAAAATGCAGTAACAGCAACTGAATTATATTACAGCAACAACTAAAGGAGAAATCATCAAATTATACTGCAAATGTTAATGAACTTTCAGTGTTGCGACAGGTACTAGCTGCACGGCTGGCTAAAAATCTGATTACAACTAAATTAACTTGGAGTAAGATTATCACACTACATACATGGATCACTGCAACGTTTACCTTCTCATGTGTTATTATAGGTATCAAACCAGCTACTTGAGTTTCAGTAAGCTATAAGGTCAAGGCTATACTAAGGCTATAATAGTGTAGGAGAGAATAATATACATTTGACACCTTGTTAAATCAGAACAAGATACAATTTTGTATGTTGCAAACTCCATATGAGTTTAATGAGTGTCATTAGAGCTATAACATTATTGACCTTTTTATGTATATACCTAATTAACAACACTGATGCTTCAATATACTGGGAATATCCGGAATGGAAATGTATCTCTTTATCTTCAACCTCAGCTCTTGCAGTCACAAAATGCCTGTGATTGCCTGAAATTACAGTGTCAAACAATATATTTATGTCTGGCATGTTCAGCCATCCACAGTTGTCCTTCTGTGCACAGTATACATCCCACATGCAGCCACATGAAGTGTTCTGCTCAGCTGGTGTCCTTGCAATGACATAACCAGTTGCATTCTGCAGAGTGGTACTTTTGATATTCTCAATGCAGTACGTATTCAATGCTGAAGATGACACCAGTGTAGGATGTGCATTGTCTTGGTTCCATGTCCATGGAAGCAGCTGGAAGCACATTTTCAGAAGCACGTCAATGCTGCTGTTTACTCTGTCTTAATAACCCTTCTGAAACATTTCACGAAAACTGTTGCCTAATCTGCTACCTTATGGGAAGCATTGGCATACTGTTTGTCAGTCTGCTCTGAATCATTCCTTGTGTAGAAATATATTAAGATTGTCCTGTTATATAGTGGAAATACTCTCATAGAAACACATAATGTGAAGAAAAGAAGAATGCCATTCAAACCGTCGAGACCAGACTCCCATGGACTATGTCATTGCTCATGTTCCGCTAAATCTCCCCATATCCCACCTCCAAGACTTCCTGCCATATTCCTTAATACATATCTCTGATGACATTACTTTTCTTGAAATTTATAAATTGATTGACATATCAGCGCAGTTGTATATGTCCATCATTCGCTCAATCGTCTTGTACATCTCCGCTTGTGCTCATTGTACATTCGATGGTTTGGAGCAGTGATCGTTTCGCACAGAGTTCTCATATTAACTACACTGCAAATAGGATAGCAACGTTCACTAAGTGAAGACAATATAGATATAGCTGTAATTACTGCCTAACTTCTTCTATTCATATTACGCATGTGTGATAATCTCACCCCAAGTTAATTTAGTTGTAATCAGATTTTTATCTGGGATGATGCCATTGCCAGACCCGAAACAAATTTGTGCATTTTGAAGATTTGGATCAATGTTTCAAGACCATTTGCATTATCTTATCTGGATCCCCTTTTCCATTAATCTTGGCTCCTTAGAGAAACAACAGCATTCGGTTCTCTGCACAGGCTGTTTATTGCATTTAATTTCCTTTATTTGAATCATAGATTGAGGACTTCTCACCTTAATAATAATAATAATGCTTGCATTTAATATAGCGCTTTTCACATCTTCTCGATGTCTCAAAGTGCTTCACAGAATATGTTGTAAAGTGAATTGACCGTTTATTTGTGGGCGAAACGCGGCAGCCAATTACGCATAGCAGTGTCGCACAAACAGTCGTGGATTGAAAATGACCAATTTATTATTGTTTTGTTTTGGAGGGATTATTATTAGGCGTGTGGAGTAAGGAAACTTGCCCAAGGTTTCGTCCTGCCTGGAATTGAACTCAGGTGTCTCACTTGCAAAGCGAGTGCTCTAACCACTGAGCTACAGGACTCCACCTTGTGCTGTATCCACAAATGTATACACTAGAACCCCGTTATAATGAATTTCAGAATTACAAGGCTTCACTACATAATCTATTGATAGTTCACTTAGTTCCCACAGATTATGGGTAGGAACCACAGCGTTTAAAATGTCCAAAATATGGTGCCAGCTCTATATCACATCACATCAGCCAGCACATGAAAATACAATACAATGTATTACAATAATAATAAAGCCTTGCATTTGGCATAGTGCCTTATCAACATCATAAACAACAACTTGCACTTATATTGCGCCCTCCATGCAGGGTGATGTCTCAGAGCGCTTAATTGGTCATGTCAGAAGGATGGCTCAAAGCACTTCACATGAATTACTGTGAAATGGAGTGACTGTATACTTGTAAGCAAACACAGTAGCACAACAATGTCCCACAATCAGCCATGGATTGAGTGACCAATTTTATTTTGGGGGTAATACCAGGAGAAATCCCCTTCTCTTTTCGAATAGTGCCATGGGATCTTTAAAGTCCACCTGAACAGACAGACGGGACCTTGGTTTAAAGTTTCATCTGAAGAACGGCACCTCCGACAATGCAACACCCCCCCAGCACTGCATTAGAGTATCTGAGTTGTCCTCCTGATGTGGGATTTGAACCCACAACCTTCTGACTCAGACAATAGTCTATCACTGTGCCGAGCTGACTACATAGTGCCTTTCACGTCGGGAGGACGTTTCAAAGTGCATTCACAGGGCTGTATGGACCCCCACGGAGGCTGGATGAAGTGGGAAGGGGAAAGGTGACTGACAGTGTGGTTAAAGGGGAACATTTTGAAATATACCTTGAAAGAGAGAAGTAAAGGAGCGAAACAGAGAGATTTGGGGATGGAGAAGCCAAAATGCCCAACATCTGGCCTGTCAGATAACTTTCTGTGCTTTGTGCGCTGCATAACACCCAGGAAGCGATGATGGTGGAAACCTGAAGGCTCGGAAATTAGCCAGTTTAGTTTCCTGTATGTAGTACAGAATCTTTCTGTGTGCATGCTGAAGCGTTGTCCAGCCATCGCACCCTGTTATAACAGTCGCTAAGATTTTATGGTCACATTATCATGGGCTCCACAGTAATAAACCAAATGCAAAGAGTGACATGAACAGCACATGTGGCATCACATGCCAGTCGGATACAATTCTTCTGAAAGACATTTTAATCCACAGCCAGAATTGTAGGTTTTAAATACTTTTATTGCTGCTGAAATGGGCAGATTTCTTGTGAACAGTTTTTGATAGCTGCCCGATTTCAACCTTGCAGATTAGAGTTTTCCTGCACTAGAAATATATAAACTCTAGCAAATCAAAAATGGACCATTTAGGAATATCGAATCATTGCTAGACAATCGTGTGTGCATGGTTCATAGAACCACAGAACAGAAGGAGACAATTTGGCTCAATGCTCTCCTATCCCCTCTCTGTGCAGGTGCTGTCCACCCTCCCCACCACCACCACATAATCACACACCCATGGGAGCTATCTATTCATGTCCCATTGCCTATTCCCTTCAAGATTACGTCTCCTGAAGTATTTATCCAATTTCTTTTTAAATGCTGTTATGTCATTAACAACCAATGCCAGATCTCCTGCAGCACAAAGTAGTGGCAAAGGATCTTGGCACTGAATGGGCAAAAGCAGAATAGTCTTTGCCGCACTTACTCAAAGAATTATTGTCTTTTGAGAAATATAATAAGGAGCAGCAATTAAAATTGGAACGGATTCTGACATTGGAGAATATCTACTTTCTCTGCCATCCATCTTAACTCGTGAGAGATGACAGAATGATCAGGAAGGTTGCCATTTTGGCATCTGCTGTGCATAAGTGTTTAAACAGATGTTCTTTCCCGTGGAAATAAAGTGGTCCAGCAATTTCACCACTGATGATTTCTTTTGTATCTTTTCCTCAGCCAACCTTTCCTTTATTTTCTTTACTACTGTTGAATTAGAATTATCCTGCAGCTGGAAAAATTGCTGCTGAATAAAATCATCGAATCATAGAAATTGTAGCATAGAAGGAGGCCATAAGGGCCAATGAGACTGAACTGGTGCGAGGACATTCACTAACTCTACTCTAATTTCCTGCTCATTTTCCATACCTTTTATGAGGTCCTTCCTCTTCAAATGATTCTTCAATTCTCGTTTAAATACTGTATATGATCTCAGCCTCAGTAGCCAAATAAACAGACTGCAGGAGTTTATTTCCTACAGGAGGAAATTATGCAGTGGGTGGAACTATGCAAGGCTAATTTAATAATATGTTGTATTAAATATCTTATTGGCATCAGCTATAGAGGTGGAAGTTCTCTTTTTGAAAAATCTCCTCCAGATCTGGTTATTTCCGATCATTGAAAAGCACATGACTAAAATCCTTATACACCATAGCTTTGAGCCAACATTTAGCTTTTGCAAAACCCTTTTTATTGTTTCCTCATTTTTTTTGTGAATTTTTGTACATCTCAAAATGATGGACATTTTGCACTGGGCTTCAATGCTATCCTACGTGAATGACGTTACATAAATGCAAATTTGTTGTTGTTGAAATAGGCAAGGTTTTCTTTACAACTTGCATTTATATAACGTGCTTTACCTTGCAAAGTGTCTCCTTAACAGTTTGACACCAAACTGAGGAAAATGGGAGGTAATCGTAGTCTTCAAGTGTGATCTGAATACAGGTATAGAGGAAACAAGGCAGAGTGATTGAGGCAGGGAGCTGCAGAGATTGAAGGTGTAGTGGCTGAAAGCAATGGCTGATAAAACAGTGACTGCTCTCATATTAAGAAACAAAATAAAAAGTAATTCTGAGTGGCGTTACCCAAAGCTTCAATCTGAGTTTAATCTAAGGTATCTCATGAAGTTACAGACATCGTCCGGACCCTATAACAATAGGTACCACCAGCAATTTCAGTCCAGTCGTTAGTTACTGACTGGTTTGACTGTGATTTCCAGTGATGTGAAAATTATCACTGGTGATAATTATCACATCACATGTCATTTTTTGCACCATCACCTAGAATTGGTTCGCAACATAGGAAAACAGGAACAGAAGGAGCCTGTTTAGCCAACTGAGGCTGTTATACCAGGTTTCTTTTAAGATCTTGGTAGATCTTTTAATCCCAATGCCTGTGTTTTTGCCATACCCTTTAAATCACTGCTATCCAAAAGTATCTATCTCTCATTCTTAATGTTCGGGAGTAGAGTGTGTTGCATTTCCAGTTATGAATGAAATTGTACTTCCACACATGTAGTGTAGGATGCTTCTGAATCTATGCATAATAAACACAACCATTTCAGTGAAGTTAGAATATTGGGTTAAGATTTCACCTACTGTACCTCAACTCGGGCCAAGGTCAGGCCACTCCCAGCAGAGGTCAAGGTCATTGTCAGGCAGAGGTCTTGGGCATCGTTGGCAAAAACACAGGAGAAACTCCCTGATATGTTATTGTTATTCTAACTATACGTAATGGTTGTCATCTAGTGTTTTTAAACCAAAAGGATAATTGTGGGAAGGGGAAGGAATAATTTACTTTAATGCTCGCCTTTCTTTAAATCTTTAGGTCCCATGGGCCTGACGCTGTGTTCCTCGGTGACAACCTTTGCAACAAAATGGCAGAGCTGACTCAGTCTCAGATGCTGCATATTGCCATGCAGATAGCATCGGGCATGGTGTATCTGGCATCTCAGCACTTTGTCCACCGTGACCTGGCTACTCGGAACTGCCTGGTGGGTGAAAACTTGCTGGTGAAGATTGGAGACTTTGGCATGTCCAGGGATGTGTACAGCACTGATTACTACAGGGTAAGTCCTAATTGTTGTTAAACTTCAATGGGAAAACTATTATTCTCCGGTCTACGATATTGTTTTAAAACAGCATTTCTTCTGAAGTGAGCTCCCAGGCCATATCTTCTCTAGAAGAGTAGACTTAACATTGTCCCTTTCACTGTAGCAATGGTTCATATTACCAGCTAATTGACAATCCTCTCCCCATCTCTCTGTGCATTCATTGCCCTGTTCTGAGTAGATTCACGGGGCAGGCTCGAGGGGCCGAATGGCCTACTCCTGCTCCTAATTCTTATGTTCTTATATGTGTGACTATTGCAGCTTGAAATCCGTATGCCCACCTTGCGGTTGTTGATACATTACTCTCTAAGAACTGTCCCTCAAGTTGGAGTGAGAGTGTTGAAAAGACTCACTATTCAAGATCTAGAAGAGCTGTGTGCTAAATAAGATTTTAACTTAAGAAAAGAAAGAAGTATAGCTTTTCATTTGGGCTCATTCACAGATCCTGGTAGCTGGAAAAAATCACACAGTCTTTATTTGTAGTGTATGTATTTGATCAGAGTCAGGCAAAGGGTGTGTATCAATGTCAGGAGGTAAACTCCTTTACCTAACTGTAATTGGATTTTACTCAAGAAATAAGGAAAGCCTACAATCCCGAACAGATGCTCTGCTTGAATTGTGGTATTGTGCTTCCTGAAACTTCACTGGCTGAAGATATCCTTTGAACTATTTGTTGGCTTCTGAAAGGCATTCATCTAAGTACCACATGAGCTTTCCATTAGCTGATATGCATGCGCTTGACTTCAGCAAGATTGTTAAGGATCCTTAATCCCTAAGAACCCCTGCAATAGGATGTATCAATATTCACTTGAGATGGGATTAAAATAATACAGCAGTCATTAGTCAGACGTTGCTTTTACATATCTCGTCTGGGACTGCAACATGCACATTAAAAATGGTCGCTAGTGAGGATTGACTAATATATAAGACTGCATACACGATTGGCCAGTATGAAATTACAGCATTGAACTCCAAATGATAATCAATAGCAATCTTTATACATTATGTCAAAGGTCAAGCATTTATTGGATTAATGCTCCATTCAGACAAGTATAAGGCAGGACTCATTCTATCACAAGCATGTTTTTTTACTCATTTCCTTTACAACCAAATCACTTCTAAGCAGAATCAGAGCCCACCCAGGTTGGATCTGACTGCAGAAGGGTTCTACCTGTATAACACTCAGTGCAGCATAATCTGAAGACCATTTGAATAGTAAACCATGAATTAGTCTAGGGATGGTTGTTCAGAACACTGGGAGAAACTCCCTTCTCTTTTTGAATCATTTCTGAGATTTTTAAATATCAAGCTCCTGTACGGTCAGCCTAGACTATAGCAAATAAAATTGATCACTCACTCCATGGCTGTTTGTGGAACATTGCTGTGTGTAACTGGCTACCACGTTTCACCCACTATTACACAGTCAATCCACTTTACAGTATATTCTGTGAAGCAGTCAAAGCTGAATATTGCATCACTAGGCTTTACCAGTCAGGGTGCAGTTTGTCCAGCCTGGACCTTAGCTCAGCTTTCAATCTAGTCCAGTGAATGTGCCACTCTCTGGCCTATTTCCTGGGTCATTCCCAGTATAGAGACTGTATATTAATTATTCATTCCTAAAGATGGTTTGACTCCATTTGATTACGGATAATTACTCAAAACTCATAACTAATTGGTATTTAATTAGTATTTGTTTTGTTTTTAAAAATAAATATTCGAAATGCTTGATTGGATTAAGAGCAATCGTAATGAAATATTCCAGGAGGGACAGGGATGACAAGCTCATGATTCAGACCCAGTACTTAAATGAATATGAAATTATATTAATATCAAAAAAGAATGCGCTGTTCTGTGGACTATTAATATACATCCTCCTCATCTAAGCTTTGTGAAATCACTTCCGAATGTCTATAATTAACTATCTGAAGCAAATAAATCTGTCTTTCTGTCAGGCAGCAGTTTCATTCCAAGGCATTTGCAGAATTACAGAAGTTTTATGATAATATTTCAGACTTTTTGACAAAAGCTGTTTCCTGATAATACTTTTTGCTGCATCTTATTCAAGAGAGCAGTGTGTTTACATTTGCCTCATAGTAACAGTTACGTTAATGCTATTCGCTTTTCATAGCGTCCAGAATTTGGCAGATTGTTGAATTCAGTCTTAATTTTGAAGTTGGTCTTTATGTCATTCTTAAAACATTTAGGGCTGTATTTGAGAATTTGATACATTTTGGATAATCTGAAATGCTGCAGAAATAGAGTAAAACTACAGCCAGATGGAATTTTACCCTATTGAACAATAATGTTAATAACCCTTGCATTTGATATAGCAACATATCAGGAAGTTGAGACATCTCAAAGCGCTTCAAAGAATATATTGTAAAGTCGATTGACTGTGCATTTTGTGGACAAAATGAAGGTTAAGGCAGGGGCCTCAAGAACTGAAAAAGCCAGTTATTCATTTCATACTGAGCTACATATGTAACCACGGTTAAACTGAATATGCAAATAGAAAAGAAATCTTGGAGACAAAATATTTTGGTAAAGCCATTTTTTTTCCGGTGCAGTATTTCATATCATTTTTGATTTAGGAATGGCTAGATTCACCTCTAAACAATCTAGAACGAGTAAGCTTATTTTTGAGATGTCTCAAAACGCTGTAGTAGACTGCAGTTATCAGCCAGACATAATGTATCAAATTCAGTGCTGTAACGATGGAATCATAATGTGTTTCTCGCTATCATCTCCTACCTCAGGTCAGACCGAGAAGACTGACATATAATTAGCTTTCTTGAGCTGGAGCCTAATTTTGTGACATTTTTGTTTAAGCTGAAAAAAAATCAATAGAAGTAGTTACAATTGATCCATTAGGATCTTTCTTTCTCTCTGGCAGAGCAGGTCTAAAGCCGGTCAAGGACTCGTAATATTCAATGTATTAAATTTTATTATTTTAAATAATAATAATCCTTGGAATTGATATAGAGCCTTTGTCGAGACATCTCAAAGCATTTCACAGGATATACTGTCAATTTGTATGACTGTGTATTTTGTGGATCAACACAGCAACCAATTTCGGTGTAGCAATGTCCCACAAACAACCATAGAGTGACCAATTTTGTTTGGGGGTTTGTTGGTCAGGATAACGGGAGAAAATTCCTTCTCTTTTTAAAAAGTGCCATGGGATCTTAAATGACCATTTAAACAGATACTTGGACCTTTAACGTCTCATCCAAAAGTTTTTTTAAAAAGCCTCAGTCATTGGCAGTTCAATAATTCTCCAGTTAAGAACATTCCTTTCCTAAATACGTGTACTGTAGTTGCTGACAGCTTTCTGCTTTTTTCCTGCCTTAGTGACAGGAACGCAACTTATTATTTGAAGCCAGCATAGGTCATAGAGGTGAATTATTTGGGAAGTTCCAATCTTAGTTGTTCCCTGTAATAAATAACAGGGTTAATATTCACTTGTGAACATTTTGCAGCTGATATAAAAAGAAAATTCCATATAACGGTAATTACCATAAAACATGATTGATTCAAGATATTTTTGCAAACATTTCACCATTTCCTACCCCCACCATTTCCTGCCCCTTTGTTTCTCAACATTTTGTGTCCGAACACATTCTGCTTTGCAACAGTTCACCATAACACCCATGAGCAGTTTTGTGATGGAGGAAGGCCTGATGGAGAAAGGCTGTTCCATTCTGGTCACAGGTGGAAGCAATACCTTATCCATTTTAAACCTGCCTCACTTTAAGTAAAAAAAAGTGGAGACTTGCAATGTCATTAATCTTACACAGAAGGAATTAATTTCCTGTTGATCTGATCTTAGTTATTTTATCCTGAACCAACAACGCACAAGGCTGAGACAAATCACCTTCTTCAGAATTCACTTGTGAAATACTGTATGCTGCAGGCGTTGGTATCGGCTGTACGCATTTGGACACCTTGTTTCCATGGCAGCGAACTTCGGATGCTGGTAGCAGGGATATATCAGACAATTCGGAGAAAAGTCATTCCCGTCTTTCAGATTAGTATGCAGTGCCATCCCAGGATACTGCATTGCTTTGCATCAGCAGCCAGACTTACATGGCATTGACACTGCGCCATGCGTGGTTCCAGTCTGACTTATTTTTGTCCACAAAATACACAGTCAATCCACTGTATATCCCGTGAAGCGCTTGAGACGTCTCAACGCTGTGATAAGGAGCAATATCAAATGCAAGGATTATTATTATTATTTTACTTGCACTTAGTTATTTAAAATAGCAAGCTGCAGCATTTTTTATAAAAGCTACAAAAGATGGCAACTGCATTATGACCTCTACCAGTTAAATGCTCAATGCAGTCACATACTTTAATTGAGGATGAGGATTAGTTAAAAAAATGAGTAATAGAGTTTTTACAAAGTGCATCAAAAGCTAACGCTCACTAGAACATTAGTACTTAGTAACATTAGATTTTCCTCAGCTCCTCTGGCCTGATGCAGTTCCATGTTGGAGATGTGCTAGCATTCAATGACACACAAACAGCAATGCACACATATAGAATCATGAACGATTTCAACATGGAAAAAGACTATTCAGCCCACCATGCCTATGACAGCTCTGTGTAGGAGCTATCTATTTAGTCTCACTCACCTACCTTTTCCCCATTTTCTTTCATAATTTTCTTTTTAGGTGGTTGCCAGCTCTCTTTGACAATATGCTGCATAAAGGGTGCTATATAACTTCCAGTTGTTCCATAATTCACTTTTAAAAGCTCTAATAGATTCTGCGTTTTGACCTCAAACATTTACATTTCAATTCACTTTACAGCATATATTCTGTGAAGCGCTTTGCGATGTCTCAAAGATGTGATAAGGAGCTATATCAAATGCAATGATTATTATTATTATTATTACTTCAGCATAGTTTTTGGTAGGTCATTCATTGTTGTAATAACATTCTGTGTTCAAACAA